ATTTCTTCTTTTCTGTTAAAGTTGTTTTGGTGTTTAAATATTTCGATTGCCTCTCTGGTGAGTCTCGGGTAGTATCTTTCAGATTGGTGCAGAATGTCCACTTCGTCGAAACGTATTTGGTGGCCGTCTAGCAGTGCGTGCTCCACTACTGCTGATTTTTCTGTTTGTCCAAATCTGCAACTTCGTTTGTGCTCCGTGATCCTAATGTTTATGCTTCGTTTTGTGGTGCCGATGTATGCTCTTCCACAGCTGCACGGAACTCTGTAGACTTCTGGTGCTGATAAAGGATCCCCTCTGTCCTTGGCCGATCTCAAAGTCTGTTGGATGGTTCGAGTTGGTTTAAAAATGGTTTTTACTTGGTGTTTGTCCAGTATCTTGCCGATTCTGTCCGTGACTTCATGTATGTACGGGAGGCAAGCCCAACTCTTACGCTCATCATGCGTCTCTGTTATCTCCGAGCGATCTTCACTGTTTTTTGGTCGAATAGCTCTATTGAAATCTTTCTTACTGTATCCATTCCAACCAAAGGCCCTTTCCAGGTGTTTGAATTCTCTCTCTAACTCGGCTGGTTCGCAGATTCTTCTGCCTCTTTCGGTGAGAGTTTTGATAACTCCTCTTTTCTGACTGAAGCAGTACAAAAACAATATTACAAATGCTGTGTGGTGCCACTATGTTCTAGTACAACTTTTAAAACGCCAGAAAGGCTATTTATTCGTGTACCACGAGATAAAAGCCGGCGTTTAAAATGGTTAAAGGGTAAAGGTATGCAAGGACATTTCTGAGAAGACTACTGCCCATGCATGTTAAGATCATTTTAATGTAAGTATAAAAAACAGATTTGATTTTATCTATTGTACAACAGATAAATACTTTGAATTTATATTGTGTTTGCTTCTCGGCTGCATTATAGTGGTAAATAATCACCTGAAAAATAGTTAATTGATATACTAGACGATAAAAGAAACAATAAGTATCTGCGAAGGAAAAATCTCGTTTTATCATCGCGCTTTTACGTTAAATACCTACTATTTTTTTCATGCAATATGAATATTAACACATATTTTTATGTAACTTTAATATTATTTATTTATTATAGCTGGAAGAAGATATGGATAACTATGTTAACTTCAAGTTAATGGGAGGTCTGAAAAAAAAAGAAGGCTAATGTACTTGTGACTTGCACCCATCCTACTGCAGAAACTCCATAAGAATACCTTCCCGATCTGTAAATAACGTTTTTTTTACTTATTACATATTTTTGTACTTAACATTGTTATTCTTAGTAACTAAGGATATATTTAATTATTAACGCTCTGTTTTGCTCAATGCCAAATCACTTTTAATGATGTAATTTAGTTTTTCCTAGCATGAAAACAATACTTTCTTATTTTTTGTTGAATCACTTGCATTTTGATCAATAGGTCCTATTTGAATTTTAAAAATTAGAGCCAGTAAAACCCCAATTTAACATTTTATCGATTTATATAAGTAAAACTATTGACTATTTTGTCTATAAATCTACCTGTTAGCGTTAACACCGCGAACTTCAGCAAGAGTAAAACTTTGGGTGTTTTTAATGTAAGATGTCACCGTAAACATGTCCACGAGTGGTAAAATGTCAGATTCTTTTTTTACAAAACCTGCGTCAATCATTTTGAAAAAATTTCTTTTTCTCCTAATATACTATATAATAATAATAACGTTTTAACAACAATATCAAGACTGAGGTTGCATATTTACATGCTCCGCATTGAAGCCGCCGCAGCCGACGAGCCGCTTGACGTCACAACTGGTCCCAGCCGATGTCGGCCCGTTTCAAAAATGATTTGAATTATTCAGTTTTCAATTGCTTATATAAATTACATAGAATTAAAAAGTTAGTTTTTTGGTCAACTGTGGTGTTTTTAATAGTATTAAGTTACGTTTGCGAGTAATATTTTTGTGCAAGATCCCTATTGCCGATGATTTACCCATAAAATGAGCATGCGCCATATCGCAATTCTAGTGGCACCGCCGTCCGCTTTTGTGTGATAAAAGTTCGGCACTGCTGGCCAGTGACCATACTAAGGAATTTTTTCTTAGTTCTAGGAGTTTTTCTCAGATAGAGAAAAATATATTTGTTATAATTATYTAGGGATTTTTGAATTTTTTTATATGTTTTAAAAATTTTGTCTGCAAAATGCATTAATTCTGGAAATAAAATATTAATATATCGGACTGCATGAGGCTAACAAGTAGAGACAAACCACAATTTGCTTTTGCAATGCAATTTAAGACGCAGTAAAGCTCTGGGTTCGCTTGTGCGATTGATGCATGCGTCTGACGCAAGTAGCGTGTCCATCGCAGAGACTGATAATTTCAGTCACCATCACTCGTACCTTATCTTATAGGTACGTAGGTATATCAACTGGATACTTTTGCATCGCAACAATGTTGCACAACATACTGGAAACTCGTATTTCCTGTCGACAGAGCAAATTAAACGTGTATCGCGACAAAATTCGTGTTGCCGCTATACACCATTTGATGCCCGAGAGCATTTAAGTGCACAAATGTTTTCTTGTTGCGCTTGTGTTTCGTACGAAGCAAACGTGGCTTGTTTCTCAAGATTTGTTGCAGTAAAAATTTTACAATGGAGAAGTGGTTAAGGGATGAAACATTGAAATTAATTGCGGAATATTTGCAGTTTCTTAGTATCTGTCTTTGTTTTTGAGTTATTTGCACAAATATAAGTTCATGTAGGGTTCCTGGGTGATTTTCCATGAATTTGCTTATAATTTTTTTTTGCATCCTTTTATTCACACTTTTTAGTCAAAGAAGTTAATTTCATAATAAATTTAAATATTCGTTACATTTTTGTGTATTTTTATTTGGATT